GCACTGGACGCCGCCGTAGAACAACAGACCGTGAAGATCGCCGCCTAAGATTATTGGCCTTAAGGGACCGTTTCTCCACTACCATGTCCATTGCAAATGAATGGTTTGCAGAACACGGAAGACCTATTGGCACGCGAAGTGTTTACCGACGAATGAGAAGTTTTGGCTTGTTTTCATACCGGCCACACTGGGTCCTCCCTTTAACTCGAGAACACCGACGTAATCGCCTTGAGTGGTGCAGACAACGGTCACTCTGGGATCAGGAATGGAACAGTAGTCTTTAGTGACGAGTCTCGATTTTGTTTAGGCATGCACGATGGTCGTGCCAGGGTTAGAAGGCGACGTGGTGAAAGGAGGAATCCACAGTTTTTTGTTGAAAGACATGTTCATCAGACTGTTAGAGTTATGGTTTGGGGTGCTATAGCTTATGGTTCCAGGTCACCTTTAATCTTCATCAGAGGTAACATGAACGCGCAGCGTTATATCCACGAAATTCTAGAACCCCATCTGTTACCCTATCTTGACACCCTGGCAGATCCAACTTTCCAACAAGATAATGCCCGATCACATGTTGCAAGAGTCACAATAGACTTCTTTCAACATAATGATGTCACATTGTTACCATGGCCATCAAGATCTCCCGACTTATCCCCAATTGAGCACGTGTGGGATATGATGGATAGGAGATTGCTCAATTTGCAACGTCCTCCTCAGACTCTAGAAGCACTTCGAGAGGAGTTGGTGGTTGCCTGGAATGAGATACCACAGGAGGACATTGACCACCTGATCAGAAGCATGCCTAGGCGCGTTGGAGAATGCGTAGCACATCAGGGTGCATCCACACATTGTTAAAGGTCAAAGGGTTTTAAAGCAGTGCAATCATTTTGAAATTTTTTTCATTTACTTATTATGCTTCATTAATACTTATACAAAATTTTATTAAAATAAAACCATTTAAACTGGGTGTTCGGATTTATATGTCACTTTCTCGGCAATTATGATTTATGAGAAATTTGGGTATATAAAGGATGTCCCATAATTAACGCAAGATTTGAATTTGCCGCCATGTTTGCAGTAAATTGTAGGCAACCCAGAAAAAAGAACAATTTAACAAACTGTCCATCATAATAATTTTGCTAAAGTATTAGAAATAGTTACGCAAACTGTACCGTAATCCCATTTGTACAGGTTCTATCTCCGTCAGTCAACATGGTTTCATGCAGAGAATACGGCTTTTGAATCTATAGATAGACAACTCCAAACGAATGTAATATACACCTGTTTCTCTAAAGCGTTTAACAGCTTAGATCATAACATCCTTCTCAACAAGTTATCTAGACTTGGTCTTTGAGACTCACTGCTGCAATTTTCAAATCTTATTTATTCGATAGGAAACAGTATGCTATGTGCAATGGACATAGGTGAGGCGAATAGCCTGTTATGTATGGTATCCCTCAAGGATCTAATTTGGGATATGCTGATCACATCCAAATAAGTCATTTACCAGCTGTTTCACAAAATATGCCGAATGTTACAAATAACCCCGCTATTCCTTATAAGACTGAAAATTACAGATGTTTCAGTGGACTTATCACAGTCACGATTCGCTTGAATCAAGACGATAATTCTTGACCCAAGATTATAGTACTATTTTTAAAGTGTTGTGTGTTTGTATCCCTCGAATAATAACTAACATAGCGTTTTATCGGATCTAAGACGCACTTTCTCATCATGTATCTAGAGAGTAATTATAACCAGCTGTTAAGTGACTGTTTCCGCTTTTCTTCTATTGCATTTCAATGAGTTACCTCAGTGACAGCTAATTACACAGCCAACTAGACAAACCGAGAATTAAGAAGAAGAAGAATTATATTCTTCGTGCTTGGTTGATCATCTTTGGTGTCCCGACAATACGCCTCTTTGGAGATTCTTATCTCGATGGCAGTATCGCTCGTGGTCAAAATGAACTTTCTTATTTGATTGTTGATATTTGAATAGATTTGCGTATCTTGCATTTTACCTATTCTTCTCCTAACTAAATTTTTTCCTTCCCACGACACTAGCGAGGAAGTACTGTAGACGCGAAAAATTTTGAACGTATGATATTACATTATTTGGATGTTATACAGGGTGTCGCGAAAAAAGTGTGCAATATTCTACCAGCGGTTTCTAGAGCTCAAAATAGGAAGAAAAGTTTATATAAATATAGGTCGACAAACGTTCCCTAAGGGCGCTACGGTCTTTTAAAGGGGCTCCCCGGAAGATGGTTTTTCCTTAATATTTCCGAAACGTGTTGAGATAAAGACATAAAATTTGGTATCCCAGCCTAGTTTTTTATGCTGGATTTAAAAATATTAACAATTTTTGACAGTTTTGTTTGGAAGCGTATGTAACAGGGACGGACTCAGGTTATTTTAGCCCCAAAATTTTTGTGTAATTCTATTTTTGAAATGTAATTTTAGAATTTGAAAATTTATGATTTTCTACATAAAAAAGGTACTCTTATTGAATGTCGATAAATTGTGCCATTTTTGAATAAAATCAAACTAAAAAATTTGTCACATGATAGGAAATTTACTGCGAATTTAAATGAATTGTTGAATAATTAGCAATGGCAACGAAAAAACTAATTTAGTAATTGGTAAATAGTACATAAATATATATTTCTATTGCAACATAGCTAACAAAAGAAATAATTTTTTTCTACGAACGAATTTGAAATTTGTTTAAAAAAGAAGACATACAGTTGGATATACTTAAAACTAGCTTTACAATAAGTGTTCAAATAAATTGCCATTTTGTTGGATACAGAGTCTCGCTCGACGAACTAATGATTGCGTAGCCCGAAAAGTGGAAAACATTTTTCTTCTTATTTTATTTGCAGCCTGATGGATTCTTTGAAGTAAATCTTCTTGAGTATTTACTTCAGTCGAGTAAACTAGGTCTTTTAATGACCCCCAAAAATAGAAATCCAATGGATTTAGGTCAGGTGAACGTGGCGGCCACGCTATAGGACCTCCTCGGCCTAACCAACTGTATGGAAAATTGACATTCAACCAATTTCGAACATTGCGTCCAAAATGTGCAGGAGTGCTATCATGTTGAAAAAACATATTTTCTTGAAACTGTTGGCGCACATCCATGAGCTCATTGTGAAGAAAGTTCAGATACACCTCTGAATTAAGACGATTGGAAAGTAAAATAGGCCCAATTACTTGATCCCCAATTACTCCTGCTCATAAGTTCAATGAAAATCTAAGTTGGAAATTTTTTTTATTTTCATCTGACCAGTGATGCGTTATGGAAATTAAAAGCACCATTCCTAGTAAATATTGACTCATCCGACCATAATATTCAAGGAATAGTGTTTTCATTTGCTAATATCCACTGGCAAAACTCGATTCGTGGTAAAAAATCTGCCTCCGTTAAATGCTGCACCCGTTTAAAATGAAAAGGATGTAATCCTTGCATTCTTGTCATTCTTCCTATCTAAAATTATTATTTTTAGGATAATTATCAAATAGGTATTCAAAAATATTTCTTACTATTGATCGAGATATATCCATAATTTCTGAAACATTTCGTATGCTTATTTGCGGATTATTTTCAAACATATTTAAAGCAATATCCATACGATGATTTCTCAGTGGCCTTCCTGAGCCCCGCAGGCGCTGAAAACTTCCATGATTTGACAAATTCCGGTGAATATCAGTAAACATTCGACGTCCAGGTACTATGCGATTGGGAAATCTTCTTTGATATTCTCTTACGGCTGCCAATGAACTGCCATTGCAAAACCCGTACACAAAATGCATGTCAGTCAGTCCTCTGTCTATAAATCTTGGCATTTTAAATCGATTTAATAAAAATTTTGATATTAATCTAGTAATTTTATACTGCTAACAATGTCAGCTTAACGTCAAAATAAGTCATAACAAATCTAAACAACTTTTGTTTGCAGTCATGGCTAACTATGTATAATCAACAATTCATCTAAATTTGCGGTACATTTCCTATCATGTGATAAATTTTTTAGTTTGATTTTATTCAAAAATGGCACAATTTATCGATATTCAATAAGAGTAACTTTTTTATGTAGAAAACCCTAAATTTACAAATTCCAAAATTGAATTTCATAAATAGAATCACACAAAAATTTTGGGGCTACAATAACCTGAGTCCGTCCCTGTTACATACGCTTCCAAACGAAACTGTCTAAAATTGTTGATATTTTTTAATCGAGCATAAAAAACTACGCTAGAATACCAAATCTTATGTCTTTATCTCAACACGTTTCGGAAATATTAAGGAAAAACCATCTTTAGGGGAGCCATTAGGGGACGTTTGTCGACCTATGTTTATATAAACTTTTCTTTCTATTTTAAGCTCTAGAAACCGCTGGTAGAATATTTAACACTTTTTTCGGGACACCCTGTATAATATGTACATCACGAATAACCATGTCACTCATTTCGGTATGTCTGTCGGTCTATAACTTGGAAAGTACTGCTGGAATTTCGATGAAATTTTAGCACAAGTTTTCAAAATAGTAATAATCTTTATTCAGAAACGGATCAAAGGATGGTGAAGTTTAGTCTTTGGCTACTCTACCAAACCACACTACCACGGGACATCACACAAAGCATTAGGATAACAACATAAATCAGATAACTGTAAGAAGTGCTTAAAAAAGGAACAAATATAGAACATTAACATATAGAAAGAATTGAACCAATAGGACGAACCTATTATAAACAAGATATCATTCGGCAAACTGAATTTATCACTCAATGAGCTCTGCCCAGAAAGTGCAACTTCTTCGAGCGCTCTGAAAGTTTAAGGTCTTATAGTTACCTGGTAAACACACTTGATGACATTTTCTTTTAATTTTGCAATTTTCTGTCTAATGTAGCGCTTGAACAATTATCTATACAAGCTATCGTTAAATCAGCTGACAGTAAAACATGAAGTCGCGATATATCCCCAAAATTGGAACATACCTTGGTCTGGCGATAGATGAATACATTTTGTCCAATTTTAGTAATTCTTTCAACATGTCTTCGCCTCTGGGATTGGGTGCTGCTTTTACCATATCTTGTATCATTAGCACTGCCACGAATGCCAAAATCCACTGGAACGTAGGCCACCTCATCATAACAATCTTGAAGTATGGTAGAAGTCTAGTCCGTATCTGGAAATAAAAATGACTGTGCTTAAAGCCAAGTAGGATAAGTTAGTTTATCGAAAAAATACAGAGAGACAGGAAGTGCCATCTATTACCAGAATCGACCACTGCGAAAGTGACCGTTAGAGGCTGACGATTCTGTAAGACACTATCATTGAGGAAAAGCCTCTACATCAGTTTAGTTTATATGGTACAGTCAAAACTCATTCAAAAGTGGTTGATGTAAGACTAGCTCATTGCCAAAAAATCAAGTTGAAGAAATTATTTTTTTCTGGGTGTAACATTTCTAAGGTCAGCGAGTATATTTAGGCAAATGTCGTACGATCAGTGTTGTCTGTGAAATTTATTGACCGTGTAGCCTAGACGTCAGTAATTGGCTATCGGAATCATTAGTAAACACAGATGATACAGACCACAGTGAATACAGATCGTGTTACATTTGCCTTAAAGTGTGGCGCCCTTTTGTATATTTGGTGTTGCAATGTATTACTATGTCTTTGAGCGTCTCTCTCTTTCCAATTGAAAGTTTGTGGAACCCCGAGATGTTTCCACAATATCGGGACTCTAATCAGTGACTCTGTCCAGTTGTTTGATCTTTTTCTCTACCTGAAAACTTTCTTTGCTTATTGTACATATTGAAACGCTCCTCTTAAAACGATACATGTATGCACGACTACCTGTTGTATGTTAGGTACATACGTCATTACAATTATATCAGAACGTGGGTGAATTCAGCTAATTGAAGGCATATGTTTTTGACGGGGGTGCATCTATGTCATCCGCACAGTTATGTGGAACAACCTGGTGCGACGTCACACCACGCCTGTACTCTTTGTCAGCGGGCATTCCCTTCATGCTTCATTGGTAGCAGACAAACAGCAATACTCTCTAGTTCCATTTCATTTACTTTTTACGCCAATGGCGAGGAAGTATTGTAATAAGGAGAAATTAAAAAGAATGAGATAATATGTTTTTGGACGTTATATGACATACGGGTTTTTGGCTATAAATTCACCCCCCTCCCCCTCTAACTTTTTTATATGACTATGTCTCAGAAAAGTGGTTTCGAATAAAGTTAAATTGAACTCTATATTTTCACTGAAAATTATAGTCCCTTTTGTTTTGATTCCACGTGTATATAGTATGTCAAACTTATTTTTATTACAGTCAAAGAGCTGAAGGTTGTCTGTCATTTAATCATACGTATTCCAAATCCAAAAGATTTGTCAAGGATAACAACTTTTTAAGCAAAAACTATTTCACCCCCTTCCATCCTCTGCCCCCCAAGGTCATCCCCTTAAAAATTTTACAGACAAGAGGTATCGAATAATAGCTTGTTTGGAAGGTCTTCCAAAGCTCTTTATTTTGATGTTTGATTTTTTAAAATGAGTCGATTCGTTTTCGAGAAAATTAGAAAAATCGTTATTTATCTGAATTTGTTCAGATAGAAACAAAAACACACGAAAAATCACTTTTTATTTCAATAAATGCTCAAAATGTTGCCAAACAATGATATAGGTGATATTCAAATTCCTGATGGACATTTTCAAAAACGTGTTGTCCAAACTTTCACGTTGGGGAGTAAACACAATAGATGTCAAATGGCCCCATAGAAAAAAGTTTAATGGCGTTAAACCAGGAGATCTAACAGGCCATTCTATAGACCTTCTTCGCCCTCTCAATTTATCTGGAAACTCGTCGTCCAGCCGTTGCCGAAATATATTTCAGCTTCATCAAGTATAGGGTTTCCATCCTCTTCGATTTGGTTTTTAATCGTTTCAGTGATAAGCGGATTGCTGGCAAATATCCAAATAAATGTATTCATTTGTGTGTGGGCATGTGTATCTACCTTTATAGTTGCATATGTGCATTCATTTCGGGCCTGATGAAGCCAACCAGCAGAAATACGTATCGCTCGGGTTACCTATCCTATTTTCTGGAAAAAAAGATGAAATCTCAAAGGAATTTTCAATAGTTGATAGTTTTAAAATCGCCAAATTTCTTCCAAAATCAATCAACGTTTGATTAAAATAAAAACTTTCAAAATGATTTGCCATTTAATAATAAAATAATTAGGTCCTAATCGAACCTCATCACTCCAGTTTTTTATTCGTCGACTATGTGTTCCCTTCACTGTTGTTTAAAAACAATTTCAGCAGCAATCTCGCCAACTTACTCCAGACGATGAAGACATAGGTGTTCGAAAGCTTGAGAGTTTAAGTTATAACAATGTACTTTTGCAATACCAACCAAACGGCTGGTTGTTGTTTAGTGTTTTAGCCATAACATATACAAATGGAAATGTACTAACAAGGATGAAATGACAACATCTCAAATGAAGGAATAAGTATGAAATATTCGATTGATACTTTGAAGAGCCTTGGGAAAATCCTGGAAACGTGTCAATTCATAAAAGGAAATACGAGAATCTCTCTGGGATACTAAATTTAATTTGTAATAAAATGGAGGTAAAGCACTCTTATTAGTAGGTATTTTACGACAAACGGTGTAAAATCTTAAATAGCATTTTTATCTGTCATTCTATTTCATTTCAAACAATAAAAGTAAGAAGTAAATGCCAATTAAGATAATAAATGAAGGATGCTTGAAGCACCACGATAAATTTTTTTACGTGTCGAGAAAGATAAGATCATCAAAATCTGCTGAGCCTGCAGAATGTAGGGTGTTAATTAAGTATCTGTACAAATTTCAATGGCAAAGTTATCATGGCTCTTACTACCATTAATGCGTTAGTTGAATATCCGAATAAACGCGTATGAATGTGCTGGTGCGTTAACGTGGTGAAACAACACCTTCTTTTTCGTCAAATGTGACCGTTTCTCCTACAATTTTTTGTCGAAGCGGTCCAATAACTCACTATAGTATTATACAGTGATCGCTCTTCCTGTTTCTAAAAAATCCACCTACGGCCTTTGATTCTTCGCGCACTTTCGTTCGTCGATCAGCGAGAATCATGTCGTGGACTTTTTGAATGATTTCCTCGGTAACCACGTCTGCCGAGCGTCCTGGTCGATTCTCGTCAAAAACGGATGTTCGCCCACGTTTAAATTCGTTGAACCAACATCTAATTGTGGTCATAGATGACATCCAAAAACAAAAAGCGGATTACCGAACGATACTGCTCTTTTTCCATCTTAGCGAAAATGTTACTCGAACGGCTGCCAAATCCAAACTAACCTATCAATCAGTCTGAAATTTGTTGTGCTGTCGTTTGATAGATGGCAGCACAGGATGATAACATTAACTTCTGTCAGGAACGCCATCTGTCGTCAAACACGGGTATTTATTGAACCGCCCTCGTATGCACTTGCTTTGACCGGAAACGACTCCAACTTTCGATTTTTAAATATGATACCGTATATTTATATATATATATATATATATACAGGGTGTTTCAGTTTATTGTTGCATAACTTTAAGATTCGATAGAACTTTTAAAATTAATGCCTAAAGTCTATATAAACATGGGTCGAAAAATGCGTGGCTTCCGAAATATAGGGTGTTTAAATTTATTTTCTAAAATAGTTTTTTTAAAATATTTCGAACAATATTTGATGTATAACAGTGAAAATTGGTATACAAGGGTTTTTTGGTACGACAAAACGAGCCATGGGCATAGTTTTACTGTAGCTGCTAGAGGGTGTTCTCTACTGTACCTGTAGTGTATTAAAATGACCGAAAAAATTTTCTTAGTGCAATTTTTTGCATTTTCAACAAAAAAAAGCTCTCTTGTGAATTTTCGTTATAGTTAGCCGTTTTTTGAGATATTTCGATTTTTAAGGTTCGATGCATTTTTAATTAATGATAAAATAACGTTAAAAAGTCAGTATCTCGATAATTTTTAGAAGTAGGCTGTGCCTGCAAATATTTTTGAAATTGAAAGCAGAATAAGGTTAAACGTCCTTACCATTTTTGCAACCTGTGCAAGGACTACAGCCAGGGGACGGAGAACGAAGAATCACATTTTGTCAGTGGATTCTTGATAGAACACCTTCATTTGTTTTTCACGGATAACTAGAATACTAGGACTTAGTTCACAGATATACCGAATGCAGATACATATTATTTCTTGTTAGGTATGATCATTCCTTACAATTATTCAGAACTTTTAGAAAATCTTTAAAACGACTGTAAGGTCATTCCCCTCAAAATCGTATTTTTCCCGTGTTACTTGATCAAAAATGAAGCGATTTACAGTGTCCATGGCATTCTAGATAGAAAAATAAAAATTGGAATAAAAATGACTTTATCTGCGAAATATTGACAAGTGAGGCATTGTTGAGTCTGAAATGTCATTATCGATCGAAATAGGTTAAAATATATGGGGTGTCCCATTTAAAAGTCGACGGTTGGAGTCGTTTGCGGTCAAACCGGAAGTACGTCCAAGCAAGTGTATATATCAGAAAATGTAAATTCTTCTTCTATCTTTAATAATAATAAGTTGTAGGGTTGAGCCACCTTGGAGAATCACCCGGTATGTATAGGCCTGTCCGCTTTTGACTTGGTTTTAAGAGACGTGAGCGTGACATCGGAATCTCTTAGTGTAAAAAAGGCCTTCAGGATGCAATTTTCTCAGATGAGCGCCTACCAGTCCACACAATGGTGCATCACATAGGTAGCTGTATATGCAGCTCTCCGAAACGCTCAAACGGGTTTCCCGGCAAGGACAAAGCGTCGGAAATGGCTTTTAATTAACCGGACCTGTTATAAAAAACAATCGAAAGGCTTCGCTGTGTGATTTGAATTTCGATGCAGTTTCAGAATATGCGTTGTTGCGCCATGTCATTGAGCTGCAACTTGATACTAGACAAAAATACTTGTGGAATCAGTAGAGAGGAAGAGAGAAAGTTACAAACTGTGTGAAATAAATAGTGGTTTAGACTAGATGTGGTGTACTTTTCAAATTATAGGCTTAAAAAAATCGTAAAAATCTACACCCGGTGACGATCTTTTACTACAAATTTCAATTTTTTCTTAGACGGAGAG